CTTCGGATTTTGCGGAAGATTTTATGCAATAACGGCACAGTAGAAAAGTTGAGGAAAAATTTTGACCATTCTTCAAACTTTTGAAGAAAACAAAGAAAGCTTCCAGAAACTTGACTCGATGCTCGAGGAGCTCTAAATAAATAGAAAAATTTGTGAAATTGGAAGTTGGATTTGGAGTATGATGAAAGAAAATATGTTTTCCTAAGGCAATAACATATTGTTTGTTTTATTTTATTTTATTTTATTCTTAATAGTAAGTTGGTATAAGGTAAGTTGCAATGCGCTATAAGCAAAAGTTACGACATCACTTTTACACGTCATTTTATTTTATTTAATAACCGTCGTTGAACAGCCAACCCAATTTTTAGTTCATGACTACAAATGCTCCACTCCGTAGCCTAGTAATTTTGAACCTAATCCAGATGACAAGGGCTACATCAAGTAATGGAAGAAATTTGCCTTCCTGGAGGAATTTTTGATGGATTTAGGCAGCATTTTCGTTACATGGAGAGGGAAATCCCGGAAATCTCCCACGGTTAGCCTGACTGCAAGGGAACTCTAACCCATGATCCGTCAACCACTGAGGATATATTTCGCCAGCACTGTGTTCAGTTTCGAGCCAGATGCGGAATTCATATCGACCAGTAATCACTGAGATTCGAACTCGGTTCACCTCATTGGCAGATGAGCAATCAACCCCCTTAGCCACCACGGATTCATATTGTTTATTTTATTTTATTTAATAGACGTCGTTGAGCACCCGACACAATTTTAGGTTTACGTCTACTAATGTTCAACTACGTAGCCTCGTAATTTTGAACCAATCCGCTTCTCTTTTGAAGCATCCTCTCTTGAACCAACTCCTATTGAACCTCTTTTGAACCAACTCCTGGATCAGTTCCCCCAGAGGTACAATTTGTTATGGGAACATGCAGGACTTCGTGACTCGATAGCTTTAACGTGCATCAGTCACCATTTACTACACGAGGAGTCTTCGGCCGACGGGGATCAAACCTACGCCTTCTTGGACATGGGCCCAGTGCCCTAGCAACAAAGCTATCCCAGCCCTCCATATTGTTTATTAAAATAAACTTATTGTAAAATTTAAGAAGCTAAAATGTTTGCTGAGAAAGAAAAATTTAACTTTTATTTTATCATTAAAGGTTATCGCTCTTCAATGATGGGTTCCGTATAACCCCTAGCAGTCAATTGGTGAATAACGCGTTAATTATATAATACAAAATGAAAATTTATTTTTTGCACACCTTTAAATGTTTAATTGATTTCTTGGAAAAGGAAATACAAACTATCATTGATGTAAATTGTCTACCACTATTAAATTATTTTAAGGCCTGTAGACATTCTGTTATTACATTTTTAATTAAAGCACTATTGCAAAACTTTATGCAGCAGCTTGTTTATTTACAAAGATTCAGATTACAGAAATCAGAAATACATCTATTAAAAATGAGACATAACTAAACTCTAACTATTACAACAAGGTGAAAAGGTTTCTGTTATAATAGTAATCCATTGCATTACACTCTATTTCAAGGTAAGTATATGGTTTAATGCCTAGATTAAAGGCACTAGACCATACACGAAACTTTTCAAATTTTTCGCACCAAAACTTTTTTCTTCTTTTCCCAGAAGATAGTCACGTTTGAAATTATTTTTGTAGGCAACAACTCAATTAAACAAAATCTATACGATATTGTAAGTAATTTTTGGTATCTTAACACATTGTTGACCGGTGACGAATTAACTCGTCTTTGCAGTCCCAAACGTTGTTGTCGTATGGCGAGATAACTCGTCATTGCACTTTCATTATCTACTTCAATTTATGAAACCCAGGGTGATATAGAATAGTAATACAAAAGCTTTGTCCATCGTGTCTAAAATTTTTATTTCATTTCTTTCAGAATAAAAAAAAATTGTGCACATTATTGGAATCTATTTCGAATGTTTTACCTAACTTCCATATTTAATTACAAAATAATAGTCGGTGACATAACATAGGTTTTCTGTACAATTGCCATCAATAAAGTCTTAAGAATGAACAAAAAATATTTTATAAAACTTAATTGACTAAACAGCCGTTATTTAGACATTTTTCATAACATTTAAAAAAAGGTTAATTTGATGATTGCATGATTAAATCTTTCTGCAATATTAGCTTAATTAACAAGTGGAGAATATGTAATATTAAATATCAATTCTACGACGTATTCAGCTCCAAAATATCTTTAATATAAAAAGTTCTTTTACGTTGTTGGTCTTTTTTAATATGATTTTGTTCCAAATGAGACGCGATACCTGAAAAATTATCTTCTCGGGAGGTATTTTCACTGAAACAGGTATCGTCCGTAATTGTTGAATTGAAATCATTAAAACAGTTCTGAAGATTTTTATTTGGCATCATGGCGAATTCTTCCTCGCCATTTGCAGCAATAGTAGAATTTTTTTGGTGTTCTCTGTGATCAGACAAGCTTGATCTTTTGTTTATTGGGGTCTTTGAGGACTTCCTTAATATCCTGTTGATGGAGGACACAGATGGTAACGAATCTTGAGGACATATACCTTCGAAGAGTAATTTTTCTCGTATTTCCCATGCAAACAGAGATGAATTGTTGTCTTTATATTGGCGAATTTTCGATATCACCAAAGGCGTGGATACCCTGGGTTTGCTTCCACCTGAAACAAAATTACAACATAAATTCGCTGAATCTAATTGTCTCTATAATGAAGTACCTAAATGCATGGCTGCCAACTTTCTGCACTTTTTGTAAAAATTTATTCTGGTGGTAGCTAAGTTAATGCTTTAATGTGTAATTTTTATTCTTTTAAACTTAATTATTTACAAAAACAGTAGAAGTTGGCAGAGCTACCTAAATGCAAGCCTGCCAACTACTACTAATTATGCAAAATATTTTATAGAAAGGTAGACATTTAAAAATAGTAGAATTCAAAAATTTTAGTTGTTTAGCTAACATTTTAAAAGCCTCATCCCGAAAGGGCTGGGACAAAGTACCGTTGCATATGAATTTTTAAATCATTTATGTATAGTGGTGTGGAAAATAAGTTTAAATCATTGAAAAATAATACATTAAAACACGATTATAGTTACCACTGGAATAAATTTTTACAAAAAGCGTTGAAAGTTGGCAATTCTAAATGTTTTACAAAAATCATTAATGTGCAATGGCGTGGAAAATAAGTTTAAATGAATAAAATAAAAAAAAATACGCTACACTAACTTAGCTACCACTAGAAAAAATTTTACAAAAAGGCTATAAAATTGGCAGCCTTGTTTAATGTAACAACTTTAGAATCATGATACTGCTGCAGAGCTGTGTGTGGTCTCAAAACACAACTAATATCATACTTGCCTACTCTTCGGATTTTCCCGAAGATTTTATTTTTATATTTAAAGTGGTAGTAAATATATACTATTTTTTCTTTTATAAACTTAATTTTTAAATGATTTTGATAACCACTATTCTTTCAAAAATTAAGCACATATATTAATATGCGGTACTATCAGGATTGTCAACTTAAGTCTTTTCAAATGCAACGCATTTGTTTGCTTAAAATTGAAGTTTTATTTCCATTTTAATACCACTGGAAAAAATAATAATGGAAGGGATTAAAAGTTGGCAGGTATGCAATAAGATTAAATGATTGCTAAAATTACTCCAAAAAAATATATCTTCAGTTGAGCACCTTTCATCCGAATCCTGATCAACCGAATTATCCAACTAAATTAGTCTATCAGGGATCAAAATTTTTATTCCAACTTTTATGAAGAAACAGTTTTTGGAAAAACCCGCTATTTTTCAAGTAAGTTTTGTGAATATTTTCAGACGTATCTGGAAAGTACAAAAAAGTCATGCTATTACATACCTGCCAACTTTTGATCTTTTCCATTATGTTTTTTCCCAATGGTAGAAAATTAGAATTAAAATTTCAATTGCAAGCAAAAAAATACGTTATATTTTAAAATGCTTCAGCTGACAACCTTGATAGTAACGCATATTAATTTATATGCTTAATTTTTTTAAGAATAGTGGTGATCAAAATCATTTAAAAAATAAGTTTATATAAATAGTATATATTTACTACCACTTTAAATATAAAATTTTACGCCAAATGCGTAAAAGTCGGCAAGCATGCTATTATTACATCAACTAAAGCATTTGGAATGAATATGGCATTAGAACATTAACTTAATTGGGTACTTGAAAAAAAAAAAAAAAAAAGATTTCAATACCCTTACATGTGACCTAATACGTCAGTACCAGCTGATCGTTTATAAGAAAAATGGCGTGTTAAAGTTAAGCTAAGTTTCGCCAAAGTTAGAATATTAATTTACATGAAGCTCCGTATCATGCATAAAATTTGTTGAAATATAATTCTATCTCATCTACGTCTTTTATATAACTCATATTTATTATTTGCTTTTGTATTTTATTGTAACCGTGATATATTTTAGTTCATGTACCTGGCAACTTCGATGTATAATTAGTTTGTGTACGTTTCTCATGGCTTCGTACCTGTCTTTGTGTTAAGTAAGAAATATATAGAGAAAGCATTGAAATCCTTGTGGAAGAATTGTCGTGAAAGAATAGAAAATGTGTTACCTAAGAGAATTGAAGGGCTTTGCTTATTAGAAACAGAATGAAAAGAGCAGTTGCTAACGTAAACAAAGGCCACGTTTCAACAACCAATCAGGAGCGAGATACCAAAACTACGTCACTTGCAGGTATTCCATTGTATATTTAAAAAAAAGCAACAATTAGAAACAAAAATGAATTTCAGAAAAAGCCGAATTTTGAAGATGTAACTAAGCATTTAAACGACTATTTAAATGCGACAGAAGTCAAATTCTTTGCCATAGATGGCGACACTTGAAAACAAAAACAATCACACACCCTCCGTCTGCCTTAATGGTCAACGACAACAACAACTCTTCCGGTTTTCCCAGGATTTTATTTTCATATTTAAAGTGGTAGCGAAACTCGTGTTATTCCCTTAAACATTTCGAATAATAATCATAATTGTAAATGAGTTTGACCACAATAATTACAATACGTAATTAGAATAAATTTAATAAAATTTATAAGTAATTAGAATAAATTTAATAAAATTTATAAGTAATTACAATAAATTTATGAAAGCAAAATAGTCTTTACAACAGCGGAATTCAATTTAATCAAAATATAATGATATTTTTGAGTCAAATTGTTTTTTCAGTAATTGTTTTACTGCCACTTGGAAAATCCATTCTCGAAAAGAGTGAATGTTCGTTAACATTAGAAAATAATAAGTATCCACTGATGTTCACAGCACGGGTCTCTCAAATAATTAGCAACCAATAAAGAGTAAAAATGTTTTTAAAAAAATAAGTAAATAAAAATATTTTTTGGGGTGTGGATCACTGACACACGAGTTAGGTGTACACTGAGTGTACTGTGTCGCATACCGTCCGAAAAGTATCCCAAAGAAGTAAAATATATTCATTTAAGTATCCCAAAGAAGTATCCCCATTAAAGTATCCCAAAGAAGTAAAATATATTCAGTTAAGAAAGCATTTAAATATATATATAGATAGATAGATAAAATATTCATTTAAAAAAAACATGAAAATATTGTATAACAATAGTCCTTTTTTCATTTAATATTTATTTTTCTCTTCTCATGCTACGTAAAACAAATCATCCGAATAAAAGAAAAAGGAAAGCAATTTTTTTTATAAATCTCAGGCAAAATTGTTAAATCAAAGAATATTAAGCACTTTCTCAAAGGGGGGATAGGAGTAATAAACTTGATTTTCTCAAATCGAACGATATGGCAAATTCTAAATAATAACACCATGCGATTTTTCAACGAAGGAAAGAAGAATTACTCTTCGACAAAGACACCGTTGAAGATCAGTGTTCCATAAAATACCGCTACACATGAAAGGTATCATTAAATCGGTCGCGAAAAATCGGAAATAAATTACTAGTTTCGCAATTTTCTCACTGATTTCGTTTTTAGGAAGGTAAAAAAAAAAAATTGTTTCGGTTTCATGGTTGGAAGTCCTCGGCATTTACCAAAAGATTTTTTTCAAAAAATTATTTCTGTGATACTACCTTCGAAGTTTATCAGATGTCTGCTTTTATCATTGATGAGAATCTCAAACAAAAAATCTTTATTGGTGGTTCTGTTAATTGTCTATCTATTTACCTTAAAAATTAATCTGCTAATTACCTTAAAAGCGGATTCCTATTACAGAATTTCAGATACGTGTAATCTGTTAACTAATCTGTTAATTAGCTTAAAAACTAATCTGTTAATTATCTAACTTATATATCTTAATAATCTAACTTATTCGTATAACAGAGTTTCTGATGTGTGTAATCTGTTAACTAAACTGTTAATTACCTTAAAATCTGATTTCTATTACAGAATTTCGGATACGCGTAATCTGCTAACTAATTTGTTAATTACCTTAAAAACTTGCCTGTTAAATACATTGAAAATTGATTCCCGTTACAGAACTTAGGATACGTGTAATCTATTAACTAATCTGTTAGTTACCCTAAAAACTAATCTGTTCATTATCTTCAAAACTGATTCCTAAAACAGAATTTTGGATACGTATAATCTATTAACTAATCTGTTAATTACCCTAAAAACTAATCTGTTAATTATCTTCAAAATTGATTCCTAAAACAGAGTCTATTAACTAATCTGTTAATTACACTAAAAACTAATCAGTTAATTAACTTCAAAACTGATTCCTAAAACAGAATTTCGGATGTGCAATTTGTTAACTAACCAGTTAATTACCTTAAAAACTATTCTGTTAATTACCTTAAAAACTTATTTCTATAACAGAGTTTCTGATGCGTGTAATATGTTAACTAATCTGTTAATTACCTTAAAATGTGATTCCTATCACAGAATGTCTCATATGTGTAATCTGTTAATTACCTTAAAAACTGATAGCTAATACGGAATTTCGGATACGTATAATCTGTTAACTATTCTGTTAATTACCTTAAAAACTGATATGTTAATTGCATTAAAAACTTATTCCTTTAACAGAATTTCGAATTCGTGTAAAAATCTCTATCGCAAATATTAGTTTGGTCGAGAATCCTCGAAAATCTTTGGATTTGGAATGCAGGTAAATTTTCGTGACCGATAGACACTCAGTTTATGCCATAACTGTCCAATTTTACGGTTATTGTAAGCGGAAAAAAAACCCATTTTACAGTGTTAATGAAATAACAGTTTAAGCAAAACATTTTAATTACAGCATAACTAAAAAGCATTAATTATTGATAAGCAAATATAAAATGCATTATGGATCTTTATGTTATATAATGATGTAACAAAAATTTTTTTAAAAAAATAAAAGTTTAAGAAAAGCCATATCAGAAGAATATCAAACCGATTTTTTGTAGTTTGTATCATGATCATCACCTATTCCTATACCAACCCAATTTCAGAAACCTTTTTAAAAATGAAGCAAAAACATGCGCTCTTAAAGAGGCGCGAAGTAAAAAATTAAATAATGAAAAGTCGAAATATCTATCATAATCTGCTGAAACTTTTCGATAAGGGAAAGTTATGAAAAAACCTCAAAACCGGTTAAAACTCAAAGGGTGTTTTCCAGACCTGCCAACTCTTCCGGATTTTCCGGA